ACTTGTCTGTTTTCTTTTCTCTGGATTTTCCTAAGTCTGACACATAGCAAAGAATCAAAAAATTAATGATGAATTATGGATTCTACCCATAAATTAACTGAAGGCTCCGCCAATCCTATGACAACAGAAACAACTGAGCCATGACTTGTTTACTTTTGATCATGGGACCCAGTAAAGTCAAGCCTGTGGACTGCTGGTAGTAAATGACAATGGAATGGATGAACAAATGAATAAGCAAGTGACGCTGGTCTTCTGTTTCCTAATCAATAAAATGAGGACAGTCATATACAAGTTCACTCAAGCTATAAATTTCAAGACCCCTGAAAGTCTTAACAGACAAATTTTTAAATGACAGATGAGCTTTAGCCACAAGGCTGGATGCTGCTTTTAGAAGCTTCCTAACAAGTGTTGTCCTTAAAGTGCTGTAGACGGATTACCAGGAATTCAGTACAGCAAAGTCATCTTCCTGTCTTCATCCTGTTTGGAAAACTGAGTGATATTTCATTATCTACTTTATATGAAAATGAGGGTAAAAAAAGAAAGTGGGAGTGTTTGATCTCAATATGAAATTCACCAGTACTTTATAAAAACTGATGAGATCAAGGTGTTTACAGTTTGTACTACGATCCAAAAGAACACTTAATAAAGCGTCTACTGCAAAGTAAGTATTCAATAAATGGTAGTATATATAAATTTTCTATATATATTGATATATACACCAAATTCACATGGTCTAAGACACAGGAGATATTTCAAACATAAAAATGCGAAAATGCGGTGTTTTAAATCTTTTAGCCCAGTTCTGTCTGAAGAAGAAACATCACAGACAGTTTTAAAAAATAACTTAAAAGCACAGATTTGGCCTTCCTAAGTGTTCACACTTTCTGTTTTGCTATTCTGATGAAGATGGCATATTAAGGAGGGTGGGTAAGTTGACAAAATTCAATAAGACATTTAACAGCTTCTGATGTATTCTGACCCAGGGTTCCTCAGAATTAATATTCTAGAATCCATAGAATCTCGTATTAGGCTTTAGTAAATCTATTTGATATGATAAAATTCAATCACACACTAAATGCAGCACAGCATTTAGACTGTTAATTTCAGTCCCTCTCTAAATGGTGGATATTTGCTCCAAATAACCTATCATATTGAATAAAAATTGTTTTCTAAGGCATTTTTCTCACTAGTGTCTACTGAATTAGTGGTCAAATATTAAACCATTAAAATCATCTATTAGAAGCTAGGAAGCATACAACCCAAGATGGAATAAACTTGGTAATCATTTTGACAAGGGCGAAATTGAAGTAAGAGAGCTTGCTTAATCCACAGAACAAAATGTGAGGAACTGTGATAAAGACACGGCCCTTCAGCACTGTGCTCCACCAAATACTTGTGTCTGGGACTGACGAAATGGAGCCACCATAAGCAACCTCACTCCATGTGGGGATCTGTAGTCAGCTAAGCTTTGAACAAGCTGGCACTCAGTCTCTACTTAGGCACAGGCACACAATCTAAAATCTGCTCTCAGGCACAGATGCATTGGCATAAAATCTGTCTGTAAGCCCAGAAAGTGGGAATTCTGGCTATAGTTACATAATATATCATTCCAACAAAGTGACTGAAACTGCATGAGGTGGGCAAATTTGATAAAATACAGCAGGCAGAGCAGGAAGAATTCAGACGTTGTTGGCAACAGATACAGAGTTTTAAGGAGAAAAAAAAAATTCTTTGTGTGGAAATTTTCCAGAAGAATGTATACCAAACTATCAACATTAGTTATCTCTTAGAGAAATGATTATTGGAAATTTTTTAAAGTATGTATTTCTATCATTTTTATTTTTAAAAAAACATTATATGATAAGGGAAAATGCAAATAATCGGAAAGCAATAAAAAATGCCACCCCCATAATCTATGCACCAGCAATCAATTCTCAGATCATTACTTTCAGATCACTGGATGGGAAATCTGAATTTCTTCCTTTTGACCTCCACTTACAAGAAATATTATATTATTTCCTTCACTAATGTTAAAAGATCCCTTTACGGAGCAAACTTCCCACGAAGTAGATGTGCCTAATATTCAACGTTAGGCTGAATCGTGCATACAAAATAAAGACTTGTAGTTCATCTTCCATAAAACAGAATATGCCTTAAACCAAAAGTCCTAGGAGGACAAATGATTTTATTAACTAAATTGTTTAGCTAAGATACCGGATGGTGCTTTTCACCTGCCACAGCAATTAAAATGTCTCTAATAAAATACCATTGAGATAAATTATAGTCCGTTTTTCAGAGCTCATCAGAGAAGATCTAGTTTATAGCATTGACTATAACATGTTAAAAAAGTGTCTATTTGAAAGCTAATTCCATGATAAATTTTAATCATATGGCTAGAACTAGCTTCAAAGCTATATTAATTATACATTAAAGCTCTATATACAAACTCGTACATTACAGCACAGCCAGAACATGTAAAATATAGTCTGAACCAAATTAAAATATGCCAATTTCCTCAGCAGTTATTTGCTTTTGATATACTGTAGTTATTTCAGTTCATTCTTTATAAACATTAAATTACTGCTGTGCTTTCTTAGCCATTTTGCTTCCCTAGAGAGAACTACAGGCTTTGGTTGACTTCATGGCATGATTTTCTACTTTTTCAGATTACAAAGTAGATATTCATCCAAGATAAATATCTTTATAATAGGGGTGAAAGTTGCTTGCAGGTTTCACCTCCTTATCCCAAGTCCGTCCACCCCACCCACTGCAGTTCCTAGTCTCATTCTCCTATTATTCTCTAGTTTTCATCCCTGTCATCAACACAGGTCAAGTCACTAGAGTCCCTGTAAGTACTGGCATACATTCCCTGTTTCAAAACAGCCCAGAGCAGGAGTCTGTCAGCAAACTTACCAATCTTTGACAAGATAAGAAGCTTGTTTCATATTTAAATAAACATTCCATTCACCATCTAGAAAGTCTTGGTACCAAGAAAAGGTCAAGTGAATTGAATAGTGTGCTTAGTGTTGTCACTGAGTATTACATACATGTAATACCTTATGCAGTAAAAAATTCAAATGAAAATTTGTATACTAAAAATTTAGCCTATTTCATTTCTTCTTTCCTTTGGTTTCCTAGTTTCATTCCCTGGAGGTAACTTCATCATTTTACAGGTATTCAATGCATATAAAAGCATACATATGTAAAACAAATAACAACAAAAAAAACAGGTACTGTACACCGTATTTGTCATTTTACTCATCATATATTGGAAATTGTCCAAAATCAATACACATAGAACAGATTCATTCTTTAAAAGGCTGCATAGAATCCTATGTCATACATGTACATAATTTATTTAACCAGTGTCCTAATATAGATATTTATGCTGCTTCCAATCCTTTTGCTGTTTCAAACAGTGCTATGATGTATATCCTTGTATGTTGGTCATTTAAGACATGGAATGTGTATCTGTGGATAAATTCCCAGAGTAGTATTGCAGGATTAAAGAATATGTGCATTTGTAATTATGATGAGATATTGCTAATTAGCCTTTACAGAGTTACACCAAATTATATACCTAATAGCAGTGTATTGGATACCTACTTTCTCACACCCCTTTCTATACAGTATGCTGTGAAAATTTTTTTATCTTTGCCAAACTAACAAGGGGAAATAGCACTTCACTTTAGTTTTAATTTTAAGATTAATTTTTTCCTAATATGTATTAAGTGAATACCTTTTCATATGTTAAGACCCATTTATATTTCCTTCGATATCAACTGTTTTTTATCTTCTGTCCATTTCTTGTACAATTATTGGTCTTTTTCTCACATATTTGTTTACATATGCTGAGAAATACATCCTTGGTCTATATCATGAGTTGTAGATAAAATATTTTTCCATGGCTTTTCATTTGTGTTTTTTCCTTTGTTTACAATATTTAAGTGACAAGATAATTTTATTTCAATTTTACGTGGTCAAATTAGTCTATCTTTTCATTTAAGACTTCTGAGTTTTGAGAAAAAAAAAAAAGACTTCTGAGTTTTGGATTAACCCTAGAAATGTCTTCCCAATCTTGAAATTTTACACATACACATACACATGCACAGCTGTGTGTATACATATATAATATTTATGTAATATACTTGTATTTTTATTTTTCTATTTAAATACTTGAAACATTTGGAATTTGGGGGTAAGAAATGAGGTAAGAATTCAAAAATAATTTTACTTTCCAGATTACTACCCAGTTGTCCCAATACCATTTATTAAATAAGTAATCACTTACCCACTGATTTGCTATGCCATCCTCGCCATACACTAATACCCAACATGTATTTGGGTTTACTTACAGACTTTCTCGTCTATTCCATTTATCTGCACGTCTATTCATGCATTATTATTAACTAAAGCAATTACTATAATTCTATATTTTAAAATATGGAAGGGATTGTAACTTGTTACTTTTCTTTGCTCAGAATTTTCTTGAGTATTTTTTCCTATTTTCCATGTATATCAATCTTTCCAGTTCAAAAAGCAAATGAACAAATAACAGTCTTAATGTATTTATTATATAGAATTAAGTTTATTACTTACATTAGTAAGAGGTGACATCTTTATAATATTGAATTTTTTGTTTAAGGAAATGTATTTTTTCCTTGTTTGTACAGAGTTTGCATATTTCTTGTTAAATTTATTTCTATAAAAATTTTTTGATATTGTAAATGTGATCTTTTCTTCCATTATATCTTCCTATTGGTTATTGTCTGTACTTACGAAAGCTGTTTGCTGTTGATTGTTGTACTCAACCATTTATAAATCCCTTTACTGATTGTTACAATTTTTAGTTAATTCTTTTGTATATTCATGTAAACAAGTATAAAATTTATAAATAACAAAAATTTTACATCCCTTTTCAAATGTATATGCCTCATTCTCTCCTCTTTAATTGTAGTGGCAAGTACCTTCCAAACCGTATTTTAAAAAAGTAGTAACGAGTGCTCACTTGAGCAACACAAATACTAAAACTTGATTGATACAGAGATTAGCATGGCCCCTGAACAAGGATGACACAGAAATTTGTGATATATTCCGTATGTTTTCTCCTCAGGCATGGGAAACAAAAATAAAAATAAACAAAAGGGACTACATCAAACTAAGCTTTTGCACAGCAAAGGAAACCATCAACAAAATGAAAGGGCAGCCTATTGAATGAGAGAAGATATTTAAGTATCAACTATATCCAATAAGGGGTTGATATCTAAAATATAGTAAGAATTCATACAACTTAATATCAAAAAAACAAGCAACCTGATTAAGAAAATGTCTGAGTTGGGGGGTGGGTATAGCTCAGTGGTAGAGTGTGTGTTTAGCACACATGAGGTCCCGGGTTCAACCCCAGTACCTTCATTTAAAAAAAAAATGTCTGAATACACATTTTTCTACAGATGGCCAATAAACATGTGAAACGATGCTCAATATCACTAATCATCAGGGAAATGCAAATCAAAACCATAGTGAGCTACCACATCACACCTGTCAGAACAGCAATTATCAAAAAGACAAGAAACAGGTGTTGATAAGGATGAGGTGAAAAGGAACCCTTGTTTGTGGGATTGTAAACTGGGGTAGTCACTACGGAAAACAGTATGAAGTTTCCTCAAAAAATTACAAACAGAACTGTCATATGATCCAGCAATTTCACTTCTTGGTCTTTATCCAAAGAAACCAAAAATACTAATTTGAAAAGCTATATGCACCCTAGTGTTCAGCGTAGCATTATTTACAATTGCCAAGATATGGAAGTAGCCATCAATAGATTAATGGATAAAGATTTGTTACATATATACAATGGAATACTACTCAGCCATAAAAAGAATGAAATTTGCCATTTGTGACAACATAATGGATCTAAAAAGTAGTATGCTAAGTGAAATAAGTAAGACAGAGAAGGACAAACACTGAATGATTTCACTTGTGTGTGGAGTCTATAAAACAAAACAAACAAAACAAAATGTAAAAAGACTCAGAGAACAAACTGGTGGTTACTGGGAGGTGGGAGGCAAAATAGGTGAAGGGATTATAAAATAAGCCAGGAGGATGTACTATACAACATAAAGAATATGGTCAATAATATCATAATAACTTTGTATGAGGACAGATGGTTACTAGATTTCTCATGATGATCATTTCATAATGTACACAAATGTCAAATCACTATGTAGTATACCTGGAATTACCATATTACTCTGTATCAACTATACTTCAATTAAAAAAAAAAAAAGAAAAAATAGTAACAGCACACACTCTGACTTTGTTCTTGACATTATGGGGATTTTCTCACTGTGTTTTCATTAAACATGATGCTGGCTTTTAGATGGTAACTATTAGTTTAAAATGTGGCCATACAGTGCCTAGTTTATTGAGGTTTTTCACAATACTTGATTGGTATGATTATATCATTTCTCTTATTCGTCCTCCTCCAGGTGAATTATGCTAAAAGAGTTGCTGATGTTGAATTATTTTTCCATTTCTGGAATAAGCCAGTACTATTATCCCCACCATGTTCAGTCACTGTCTAGGGGGCAGCCCAGGGGAAGAAAGTATGATTTTGGTATTAACACCATGGTGGCTTTAAAGGGGTTGGCAGCTGGAGTCTGGCATCACCTGTGCTCCTCACAGCAGAATCTCTTAAAGAAGATTTGAGCAGCACGTTTCTACAGCTACCACATAAGTCAATAAAGGACTAGAAGTCAGAAAACTTGAGCCCCAAAACTATCACAGCCAACAAGTTATCGGTGTTATCTTAAGACAGGTAATGCGCCCTCTGAGACTCACCTTTTCCTTGCTTTATATAGATAGGCATAATAACAAAACACATGCATTTAAAAGGATTGAAAGAGATTCTGGTACACAGTGTGCTATAAATGCTAGCACACTTCAGGGAGGAGCCCCAGAACCTGGAAAGTAATAACAGCTGCCATTTCTTGAGAACTTACTACATGCCAGGCAGTCTGTGCTGGCAAAGAGACAGGATCAAAAGGGAAGAGAGAAGGAAAAAGGAAGGAATTGTGACACTTAATTGCTGTTACCACCTTGAGCAATTTACATTAAAGAAGGAAACTCTCTAGCATGTAGACTTTTGCTAGAACAAAAAGAGAGATTTATAAGGAAGAAGTAAAGTAAGCCAAAAAAAATTCCTTCTTGGTTGTGTTAAGTTTACTGAGAAGGAAAGGAAGCAAGGATTTATTAGGGTGTCAGTAATGTTCAGAATAGAGTGGGCCCTTAGTTGGAGCTTTCATTTGGCTCTACTGCCTGGGTCCCCTGGTGGCAGGATGGCTGAGCGATATCAACAGATACAGAGCAAGGATTTACCATAGTCCAACATAACCTCTGATCCCGTACCTTCCAATTACTAAATTTGAACAAAATCCTTAACTTTCTGGTCTTCATCTTTGAAAGGAATTGTTCTGAGGAATAAATCAGATAATTTATGTGAAGCATTTGACAGAGAATAGTTACTTAATAAGCATGGCTATATTATTAAAGCATAACTCACGTTTTACAATAACCTAAGTTTTATGTATAAAACTACTGGCAGAAACAATGTTAATTTTTAATAAGTACTGATAGCCACCAAAAATATTTTTCATGAAATTTAATCTTAGAATTTTGGGGAAAAATCACATAAACTACAATGGTTTTCAATAACTACATTTATGCTGTAATTGCAGATTTGACCTTCCACTGAAAAAAATTTAAAAGACCATTTTTTAAATGAAGTCATCCCCAATGGAAATGTTAACTGAAAGGATCTTTTTAAAATAAATACTATCCAAAAGCTACTCATTTTCCAACTTGTAAGTCATGTTTAATAGTTGAAAATATGAGAACCTAAGCCACAAATACCCAGTCATTATATTAAGATGGTCTTTTATGTAAACATGAATCAACACATACCAACAGACTATAATAGTCAATTCTGAGGGATGGAAGTTCTTGTTTCAATGGATGAAATATGCATGCTTTTGGAAAATTCAAATGTGAACTTTTCCTTAATCTAAGAAATTTCTTCTGATCTGAAAGGATAGCATAGATCAGGTTAAAAGCTTGCATAAGAACGTGCACCAAATCTTTAAAAACCAAAGACCACAGTTGATATGATGGTTTCTAGAGAGAAAGCATTTTTGTACAGCCTTGTAAATGTTTCCATTCACATGGAACAACTCCAGCTGCTTTCAAAAATCAACAAATGATAAGCAGAAGGAAGATGGAAAGAAATAATGGCATTTTTATGATGTCCAACTGATAAACACTGGTTTCCATATATATTATGTTAAGTATTATTGAGCACAGAATTAACATCATTTGTAATGCAGTGAAATAAGGCAGCCGAGGCAAATGCAGAAAGGTCTCCAATGTATTGCTTTGATGAGCTAAACTGACACTGCCAGGTTATATATTTATAAAAAAATATGAACAAAGGGTCAAATAATTCATTTTTTCCTGGATGTATGTTCATAGACTGTGACTAGAGCTCTCAAACACTTTTCATCCTGTTATCTATCTAGTTTGATAATCTTATCCTTCTACGAACCATACTTTTCACAGTGTATCTAATTACCTAGAATGGATCCAAAAACAGTCCTAATCCTGCATTTGAGTACTTAAAGTATCATAAGCAAAAGATAAATCTTTTCCTTGATGAAAATTTGGAGGCACAAATTTACAAAAGAAGTCACAAACTACTGAATGTCTCCAATGTTTTTAAGTACTGGGCAAGCACTTGAAATATGTCATTAACTCAAGTCAACAAACATTTACTGAGCTCATACTCTTTGATAAGCAGGTACTCTACTAAGTGTTGAAGACATAAAGGTTATAAAGATATCACAGTCTGGTAGCAGTGACAGGTATACGTAGATGCAACTGCGATACGACAAGAAATGCAGTGATAGAAGAGGGTCCTGATGTATAGTGGGAATAAAGAGGAGGGGAAGTGTCCAGAGACAAGGAATTTTACCTTATCTAGTGGAAAAGCAGCTTCTCAGAGGAGATGATAACCACACTGAGACCTCAGAGATGAATAATGCTTGACTTTCATAAAAATCTGTAATAATAGTCCTAAGTAGGTAACATAATTATTCTCATTTTATATCTGAGGAAATGGATGTACCCTGACTCAGAGATAATAACTGGCAGGGCCAAGTCTACCTGATTCCAGTGTCATACATTTTGTATTGCCTCTGAAAGTCATGAAAAATACTCTGTATGTCTCACCATGTCACAAAATTTTCAGTATTACTTATCTCATTTAGCAATTCCAATACACCAGCCCCTTCTTACAATTCTCACCATACTCAGCTAAAAGAATATATAGTAATTGCTGGCTTATATTTCGTATCTCTTAGAAATTCTCATGAAAACTCAAGATACTACAGTTATCGCAGAGCAGAGTAGGTATGAAAATATAAAACTGTCACTGAGAAGAAAGGAAGCTCTATTAAGACCTTTATAATAAGTGTAATAAGTATCTGGAAACATTTCCTTTAATTGACCAAATAATCTCAACTGTAATCAGAGGGGGAGGCAGCAGTCTAAACATACGGAGCTTACTTACCTCTCCTCACAACGTGATACAACAGAATTTTCTTGATCTTTTGCCTACTTTTATAAAAGAATTAGGGGACAGCTTTATTTTCAACCTACTATAGTCTTCAATTGAAAAAGACTATGTAAGAGCTGTGGGAATTTAACAGCCACACTGAGTAGGAAAAATTCACTTTCTTATGTGTCTCCCCTTTACTGCTCACACAGAATACTTCACTTCTGATGCTAATGGTCACCAAACGTGTGGGGGGTTTTCCCACAATAAGCAATTGTGTGATATCAACTGGGTGTCCCACAATTTAACCCAATTCTGACACTATCTACCTAGAAATATTAACAGATCCATAGTTTAAGGGCTTAGTCCCACAAGACTGCCTCCCCCACCCCAATTCTAATAGCAAGTCCAGGTTCTCAGCTGGGTTTCTGACCTATCAGCTATAAATCAGAGGTTCCCAAAACCCTCACCTTAGGTTCAATTAATTTGCTAGAGTG